AATGTGCCTTTTTATTTGTACACACACCACACGTCTAGAAAGAACAGGATTTGTGACACTAATTTGTAAGCAGCCCTTATTCTGCACTGGCAAATGTTTCTTAGCAATAGGCATTTACCCAAAAGGCCATCTGTGGCAACACCAGGGTTCCATCAGTGTAAGCTTCATGTTTATACTACTAACATGTATTCAGTATAATGACTGTTCATCTAAAAGTACTAAAGATTATATTCATATGAATCTTTTAGCCATGTAAAAGGTTCAGAGTTGGGGAAAGTTGCTTTTAAAAGCAATGCGTTACAATATTGCATTACTGTTTTAAAAAGGTAGCCTGGGCTGGGCTTGCTTGATTGTTTTTAATGTAAATGTAGAGGCCCTTTCACACCAGAAGTGAAATGTATAAGCCTCAGGCGTGAAAGGATGCAAAATCACGTCTGTACGGTAGAGGACGCAACTCAAACAAACCTTTCAGCTGTGCTGCTGATCCAGAACACAGAAGATTAGGACAAAGCAGAAGAAAGTTTGACACTCTTAATTTCTACAACAGCAACAACAAAAAGAAACACAAACGTGATGTTTATCTAAAGTGATTTTTGCTTATTAGTACGGTTGAATTGGATTAGCGAAGGTCAGCAGCAAAACATCCACAGTTAATAAAGTGAGATTACGTTCATAAAGTAGGCCTATATTTGTGATATTAAGCATATTTAATTATTCCAGGTTTGTGTATTATTATTCTGAGTTTGCATTTCCTGTTTTTATTCATTTTGAGGAATACTGAATCTTTTTTTGTGTGAAAGTGAGATGAGTGAATGCATGCTCACATTTAGTCTATAACTACGGTAACCATCATGTTTTCACAGCTAACACAACACCTGCACTTCTGATTTCTCTCAACATGAGGACAGGAGAGATCTCCGTTAATAATAGGAAAACAAAGGAGCTTGTGTTACTCATTTAATAACATTAATGTTGTAAAAACTTGAAAAAAATATTGTATAGAAATTACAGTATTGTATGCTATACTGTGCAGAATGTGACTTCTTCAAACAGTGATGTATGATCTTTCTAAAATATTATTTATTTTCATTCATTATTGGAATCAAAAGTCAAGAGATTTAATACAAAATTGGATTGAAATGCAAAATAACCATTTCCAAGATGACTTCTAGAAGTTTCTTGCTAAATTAAACGTGTAAAGTCAAAGGCTACTACTGTCAAACGCTTACAGTTTAACTTGGCTATAGTAGCGTAAAGTTCGTAAACAAACTTGGAAGTTGACTTGAGAAAGCTAGACCAGAAAGTATGAAGTAGTTTTACGGTTTTGACAGGTTTTTAATAAGATATTAGGCCTATTCATTAAATGGTGTATTAGCCTATTCCATCCATTCCAGTATTACATTCTAAACACTGTATTTAGTGCACTAGCTAGGCTACTTTTTAGCGTGGAACAAACGATTCACATGATTCGGTTCTTGGCGAATCACCAGATTAATTTGATTTTCCTTTTTGGGGGGATCAAAACCACTTTATTAATTTCACTCAATTGATTTTTTTTTTTTAATGGAATAGCTATATTTCTGTTAGTTTAGTATTTTTGTTAATAGTTAACATGCTAATAATTGCATTAGCCTACATATTTCTGATTTATATGTGTCAAATTCTGAAAGTATCCTCTGTTCTAAGTTAGCACAAACATACTAATGACATGCAGTAAATACAAATAAGTAGCCTATTGTTTCCATTAAAAAAAGTAGCTGCTTTAAATTACTAAGTAGCCTACAATCAACTTGAATGTTTAAGTCATCTCAACTTAAATTTTATTAAAACTGACTTAAAAAACGAGTTGTATCTTGTAGTAAAACCTATATATTTTTGAATTAAAAACATGTTAACATAACTTATTGATCATATCATGATTTGCAGTGTAGGCTATACTCGTTTTTAAGTCGGAATTGGACACCTACTCCTTGAACTCCTCACCCCCGGTGTAGGCATTGCGTTACATACTAACCCTGGTCTTAAAATGTCAGCTCACAGTGTGCAGTTTGCACTCACAAAAGTACATTCTCCGACCTTACCGCCATCCGCATAGGTCTCCGTGCCATAACCATCCTGCAGTCCGTTATTCCAAGTGCCCTCGTATCTGGCACCGCTGCCCTGACTGATGCGCGTCCCGTATCTGCCTTTGAATCCGTGCGTCCACTCTCCCTTGTAGATCCAGTGTCCTTTGGTCTCCAAACCTAGACCATGACGCTTCCCCTGAGACCAATACCCCTCGTATGTGTTTCCACTCGGCCAGGTGTAGACTCCCACCACCTCGAACCCGTAATTCCAGGAACCGGAGAACTCTCCTTGTCCTTTCGGTCCGGTGCAGATCCCGTGCCCGTGCGCTTTACCTCCCTCCCAGCCTCCACAATAAGCTCCGCCATCATCGAACTCAAAGCGACCTCCGCTCATCACTCTCAATGCAATTACTTCTAACTTTTGAAACTTTCAGAAATGCCTGAAAATCAACAACAACGAACGACTTAATTTCTATCAGGCGCTGTTAAATCCATCTGTCAGATTCCATAGATGCGTAAAACGGAGAGAAGATCTTTTCCTGGTGCTGAACTTGTAGACTCGTCGTATAGGCTCATCATTTGTTGATAGGTAGGCTATATCCTTAAAATAAACGTCCTAAAGCTTGAAGTTGAAATGACTTGGGAGAGGGAGGATTGTTTTTGTTTGTTTGTTTTGATTTTTTTTGTTACATGATATTGTTTGAGTTGATCTATTTAATCGAATTGTCGAGCCAGGGGGTCTTTCATGGCTTTCAACCCCTCTCCCCTCTCCCTGCCTCCCCTCTTTGCACTTGGTGCTGCTGGAAATGTGTTTGCAGTCCCAACAAGGCTACCAGATCCCAACACAGTTCCAAAAATACAAGCCAATCGGCCCTCAGCAGCACCCAGGCACTTTTAAAAGCGCTGCCAGATCACTTGCAGAAGGGTTTGGGCTCGATGTCCATATCAGGGGTCGGTGGAGTCTGAGCCTCTTATTATTTTTTAGTTCATAAGTTAGATGCTAGAAACTGTTAATGCTGTAGCATCCTTTTTTATTTAGTTTTTGATATACAGGGAACACTGCATACACACTTTTTTACTAATAAAGACAAAACGAAAAGTGGGACAGTGAGTAGCTACACCTTATAAACAGATCATGATTGGGTCAAGAATTGACCTTGTGTTTTGCAGAGTTTAACTGAGTAACATAAGTCTAATAAAAAATGACAAATATTATAATGCTTCTAAAATGATTTTGGTTGTATTTTATATTATTTGTTTATTTGTTTGTTTATCTCTATTTATTCTCCTCTGTTTTCTTTTCTTTACTTAACCTTACATTTTTTTACTTAACTTTACATTTTTTTCTAGCACGTGTTTTGTACTTATGAAATATCATATCCTACATGTTAACAAGCATGTAAATTAAAGCTTTGTTGACTCCGATTCGATAAATAAATAAGCAAATGTCTATAGACACTGATGTTATTTTTAAAGTATTTAAAACTGAAGATTTATTTATTTATGTATTTATAATATTTACTTTTTTCCATCTATTTTAGTCTCATTTTTCTTCTTTTCATTTTTTTCTTTGTTTACTTAACTATATATATATTTTTTCATTTTGTCTGTGTTTTCTAAGACTTTTTTATACTTATAAATAGAAGTGTAATATTATGGCCATGTTAATATTTTTTTTTAAATTAAAGCTTAATTGACTGACTCTATAAATAAATAACCAAAAAAATGTATTTTATTTTAATTTATTAATAATATTTTACTATTTATTTTCCCTATGAGTTTATTGCCCTTTTTCTTCTTTTCATTTTCTTATTTGTTTACCTAACCATATATTTTTTTTAAATGGTCTGTGTTTCCTAACACTTTCCATACTTGTTATGAAATATTATAGCCATGTTAACAAATTTGTTTTAAAATGAATTTCTTAATTGACTGACTCTATAAATAAATAACCAAACCTTAACAGTATAGTTTCAAGCTAAAGTTTAAAAATATATATATTTTCTCTAAGGTAAAATGATGTGTCAGTCTTGGTCTTATTCGGGTGACTGTTGAACAGAGGCCAGCTTGCACTCATTATCCACTGTGATAATGCAGACAGAGAAACCTGTATCAGCGCCACTTGATTTCACAGAAGAGATTTAACATGCGTAAAGGGAAACTGCGCCCTCTGCTGGTTTATATGTAGTACTGCGGTTGGCACATGTAATTACAGCAATATTCATTCTTACTACTTTAAACACACCACATCGTTTGAGACCAATATTTCACAGTCAGTTTATTTAGCATTTTTATTAAACATGTATTGTATCCTAATATTAGGCTAGTAGTTTTCAACCAAGCATTAAAATGACATTCATACAGAAAGTTACTTGAACACACCTCTTCTATGATTTTTCATTATTTGATATTATCTAAAGTAAAATAATGTTTAGACGGTTCATCATTCATAGTGTAATAAAGACAAAAACCTGTAAATATAATATTTTTAATTAAAAAAAATATATATTTCAATGTTGTTCAAATCAGAATCACAGTGTTGTGTAACCGATATGCAATTATATCACAGAGAAGACCCCTGCATACCCTCATGACTGTGTCATGACTTTTTAAAATACAATAATAATTTGAATAATAATAATAATAATATTGTGTATTATTGTAATAGTGTGTATATAATAATAATAAGATGTGAGGGAAAATAACCAACATGAAAATAAATATGACATGTGTGCATTTTGAAATAAATGCTTATTTTGCACGACCTCTTCTATACATTTATCGCGGACGAACAGAATATATGAGCAGGTCGAAAGTGCGGCTGCCGATGGTGTCGATGATGATGCCCCTGTTCGTGGTGCTGAAACCTCCAGGCGCTCGTCCTCTCTCTCTCTCTCTCTCTCTCTCTCTCTCTCTCTCTCTCTCTCTCTCTCTCTCTCTCTCCCTCTCTGCTCCTCTCTCACACGCACAGAATCCTCTGTCATGGCGTCTTCCAACAATGTTACTCCCACCAACTGTAGCTGGTGGCCCATCTCAGCCATGGACGAAGATGGTAAAGTGACAGACGGAGAGGAGAGTCAAGAGCCCACGATAGAACACAAGCCATACAACAAAGACCAGCTCGTTCTGTATCACTGGACTCAGTCCTTCAGCTCTCAAAAGGTAAGAAAAACACAACATGAAAATGGTGGGTGAACCTATACTAGCCTATGCAGTGGGACCAGTACTGCCAGACAGATAATATTGCGCTTTCTCTGGGTGGACGCGTGTTTTATTGGCCCAACGTTACCTGTCTGTTCCGTCCTGTGTGAAGACATTACGAAACCTCAGCAGAAGATGCAACATTTCGACTTGACTGGCAATATCATCGATCAGTTTTATGCATAGTGTCTATCAGATTGATTTAGGGGCAAGTAAACAGCGGATTTAACTGTATGTAATGGGCACAAAGCTATGTTGAAGAGTTGCGTGTTGCTTTGCTCTGGACTGGAGGATGATGGGACTCTAAATTATTCATTAAAATGAGGGAGCTTTGTGAAAAAACAAACGGTGATTTCGTATTCTGCTGCTGTCAATTGCTTCGTGCACATTTCAGTCAGGGTCTTATGTGTCCCTCATAAACGTGAATACAATGACTTTTACAATTAAAACTGGCTCCAACTTTTAATCGGTTATTATAGGTATTTTTATTAATATATCAGCTACAAACAAACAAAAAAAAGAGTACATTTATCATATTTTTAATTCTCTTTGGCCAGTGTTGTCATCTTCTCCCTGTATTATATATTATAATTATTACATTTATTTTTTAAATGTATGTATGTATATGTATATATATGTATATATATATATATATATATATATATATATAATAGTGTGTGTTTGTGTAAATGTCTCATACATATATACAACACAGGTATGCAATCTAATTCAAAATGATGTAGTATTTTTTCCAATCAATTTACGCATATATATTATTGCTTTAAATGTGGTGCCTATATATATGTATATGTATTTTATACATGTGTGCATATTTTAAATATAAATAAATACATAATTTAGAAATCAATACATTTATGTATGTATAAATATAAATAAATACAATATTAATTTCACACATTTACTCAAACACACACTATTTATATATATATATATATATATGGATTATGATATGAGATATGAATGTTTTCCAATCAAACTGTGTGTGTGTATATATATATATATATATATATATATATGTGTGTGTGTGTACACTGTACTATATATATATATATACTGTACTATATATATATATATATATATATATATATATGAAATACAAACATATATAGGCTTATATGTATGTATAAGCATTAAACTGTCTTTTGTCTTTCTAGTAAACACCCTGTAGTGTCATGACCTTGAGGCTATAAGGCTAAATGGCTATATGACCGTCAACCCTTTTTTTTAAAGATATTGCAAATTCCAACATATATTAAATGTTAAACGCAGCATGAGATGCCAGAATGCAATTTCTTAAGACTTAAATACATTCTTTGTCTGATAAATTGTTTATTCTAATATGATTTTTATTTTAAAAATCACTGGAAAATGGAAAGGCCCCATATTTGGGGGAATAACACACCAGGTGTGAGGCCTACAGTCACGACAGTCAGTCTGCTGTTGCTGTTTGCATGATTTGAATGAATATCACGTGTTACCTAAGCTAAACCTGACACCTGACAACTATATTAAATTGACCAAAACACTGGTGAGGCTCAGATCGCAAAGTGATTCATTTTGCTGATTACAGTAGTTACAGGCTCGCATGGAAAGCTGAGCAAAAAATCAATAACCTCCCAAAATCCATCTCCCATTTACTTACCAGCAGACTGAGAAATACAGTTAAACATGGGAAAGCTTCACACCATCTGAGTGTTTTTCTCTTGATGCCAATTACTTTTGGACTCCCTTTTTATAGAAATATTAATTGGAGAACATTTACTGGAGATGAGCATCAAAACAGCCCTGTCATCTCAGAAAATAGATTGGTACTGCTGATCTTTCAGTAGCACTGCCGTTGGGACTTTTTGTGATGAAGGGTATTATTGAATCAATGTATCTTCTGGATGAAGCGGTAAAACACTTTTGAGTGATTCAAATCATGAGCTTCGATGTCGATTTAATATTCATTTGGATATACATGGTTATAGTACATATACATTTTCCTCAAGGATAAAAAAATCTAATGTTATAAACAAAATAGCGAAGCCTGTTAGTTGGTACATTATTATTAAAGGTTAATTAATGACTGATTTGTAGACAGTTGCATATACAGCTCTTTTTATAATAATAACGTTATGATAATACATTGTAATGGAAAACATTAAGTGTACAGTTTTCTTGCTAACTATAGGCTAAGGTTTATGGTCAATGAATGACTTTTCTGATGTAAATGTAACCTTGCCTGTTTTATCCGTGTTGGTTCACACACTGATTGAGCGACTAAAAATTTTAGTAAGTTGTACTGGTTCTTTCATACACTCTGATGTTAATTCAAGTTTATTTTGTACTCCAACTATTAGTATTGAGGTATCAGTGAAGATCGGTTCACCGCTTCGCTTGAACTGAGGCTCTACAGCGACATTAGAGTAAGTTAGTTCACACCCCATGTCATCCAAGATATCCATATCATTCTTTCTTCAGTCGAAAAGAAATTAAGGTTTTTGATGAAAACATTCCAGGATTTTCTGGTAACCAAACGGTTCAAGCTCCAAAAGACAGTTTCAGTGCAAACTGCAAACTGTTCAAAGGGCTTTAAACGACACCAGACGATGAATAAGGGTCTTATCAAGCGAAACGATCGCTCAACATCACTCAAAAAAAAAAAGTTTTATAAGCTCAAATGGTCGCCTTGCTTGTTCTGTGATGCGCGTTCGTGACTCTCCTGTTCAAACTCATTTATCAAAATGAACGAATCTTTTTCCGAGTCAATTCATTCATTTCGTTCGTTGAATGATCCAAACGACACACAAAAAAAGATTTGTTCATTTTGAAACGAAAGAAAGTTTGCACTGAAACTGTCTTTTGGACCTTGAACCATTTGGTTACCAGTAAAGTGCATTATATGGAGAAAATCCTGGAATGTTTTCATCAAAATCCTTAATTTCTTTTCGACTGAAGAAAGAAAGACGTGGACATCTTGGATGACATGGGGGTGAGTAAATTATCAGCAAAAGTTTTTTTTTTTTTTTAAAGTGAACTACTCCTTTAAGAGTGGCAAACCAATATTTTTTTTTTTTTTGAATTTCGTAATAAAACGTACAAAGTTTTAATGCTGAGACTTTCATATCGGAGGTAACCCGCTCAGTCTTGGCTGTCAGCGCATTGTCGCATGTTTGTTTTCACTGCGTGAGAATACGTGTGGCATGTAGCGTGAGAACAGTGTCAATTGCGTGACGTTAAGCTACATGCTAATGCTGGCTGAGCCTTTCCCAGTTGATTATTTTGTGTCTGTTCAAATCCAGACATTGCACCGTAGTTGTGAAGTGCTTTATCAGATGTGTCAATTGGCCTTGCAACACTTCCCAGGCCTCAGCACAGTCAAAGCTGGAAACAGCCTGGCATTGCTCAAGCTGCTGATTGATGCTTTTCACTCATCAGTCAGCGCTCCTTGTTTTATCTCGATCGATTAATCTGGTTTTGTAGAACGAGACAGGACTGTATCTTTAATGCTACTTCTATCCAGAAGAAAACCGGATTCCTGTTGCATATGAAGTAGCCTATATTCTCTTTAAATAACTATCTGAATATTGTGTTGTTTAGCTTAATGCCAGCTTACAAAATCTCTGAACACAGCAAGGCTTTTCCCCCATATTCCCATGTTATGTTTTATTAATATAGTTTCTACATGCATAGTTGCTATAGTTACTGTAGTAGACCTTTAACGCTTAAAAGAATAGGTTCTATATAGAATCTTAAGGGATTCTTTTAGGCACTTTATATAATGAACCTTTTAGGGGTTCCCATCATTGGAACATTTTATGGATTTAGTTTGAATTAATTTTTCAGTTTATTTCAATGTTATACATTTATCAGCTTGTCAACATACTTCATCACTTGAAAAATTAACATGATAGTATTATGCAATCGTTTAAGATTGCATAATACTATCATGTAAGTATAGTATTATATTAATATAGTAAATCGTATGCAACAAGAAGATAACAACAACAAGAATAAATTTAGAATCAGACGCTGATGAAAGCAATCTGATGTTTTATTAATCTAATTTCTAACAGCTGGCCTGCTAAACATTTAATTAAAACCTGAGTGCCTTCCAAACTAAATTTTAATGATTGTCAAATAGATACAAAATACAGTGGAAAATAATTCTACTGGTTTGCGTTGTACGTAACCGACGTGATTAAGTGGGACCAAATGTCTCAGACCACTGTGAGAATGCTTTTATTTAATACGGTTGTCTATATTATCAGCAAAAGAATGCTAGTGAAAATGTAAAGCTGAACCGCAAAATAAAGAACTTTCTGGTATTTGATGACATTGTCTTTTTCAAAATTCTCCGTCTTGAGGCAGCATGACGTCATGATGATGTCATGTGTGTGTTTTCTGGCAGGTGCGTCTGGTGATCAATGAGAAAGGGTTGCTGTGTGAAGAACGGGATGTCAGTATGCCTCTCACTGAGCACAAGGAGCCTTGGTTCATGAGGCTCAACCTAGGGGAGGAAGTGCCAGTTTTCATCCACGGAGACACTATCGTCAGTGACTACAACCAAATCATTGATTATATAGAGACCAACTTTGTCGGAGGTATGGCTGACAAACCACTTACTCATGACTGCAGAAAGATACCTTGCTTGTTACTCTGCCTAACACTCTTGGAGGGCCACTATCCTATACATTGTTTAGCTCCAACTTGTCTCAACACACCTGTCTGGAAGTTTCTAGTTGTGTACAAAATCGCATTCACCCTCATTCACTATTTTCTACAATAGTCCACTTGATGGAGTGAATGAAAACGAGTGAGCGAATTCGCACACCGAGTGCCCTACGGTTTTGCATAGTATTGAGGAAACTAGCATGGATAAACTTTAATTCAAAATAATAATCAATTGAAAAGGAATTTATACCTGTGTATGTGTTTGATATTACACCATAGCCACATTGGACCAGTGGTTTGGAAAATGGATGATTCATCTTCTGGCGAGACGCGAGAATTCATTTAGTGCATTATGGGTATTCTCTAGCCGTTGTGTGTACATCTGTTGGACACTCGTTACTGCATGTCATAGACATATACACTAGACCTCACCTGGGGGTTCTAAGCATGCGTCAAAACCGCCGCCATCTTGGAACAGGGGTCTTGTCATAGGAAGTAGCTAGATAACGCTGCTATCTCTGCCTTTACTTCGAATTCATTGATGGTGGCGGACTTTTGTGCAGCGTATGAAGTTCACGGATGAAATCTGAACTAGGAAGAATGTTTAAAAAAAAAAAAAATTCAAATTTTTTTTCTTTCTGGAATCAATGATAAATGCATGTTTGACCGTTGAAACAAACCAAAAAAACAAGAAAAATCGATTCATGATGATTTATGGTGATTTTATTTGCGTTAGACCTGTGTCTACTACATTGACGCTGATGCATTAAAGTGGAGGGGCTCCCCTGTTTCAAGATGGCGGCTCTATTGACGCATTCGTTCTAATGAACTGCCGTATCCAAGGTGAGGTCTAGTGTATATGTCTATGACTGCATGTATAGTACATGTTAAGGCCTCATTATGCTTCTGCGTCAACTCCACGGCGTAGCTACGTCACTTACGGCGTCGTGGCCGTTTTATGGTTCTGCGTCAGGTTGTGCATCACGGTGCATTTCACCGCCAGAACACTAGGGGGGTGTGTGGTTCACAATTCTCTTTGATGGTTTGTTTTGGTTCCATTTCTGACAATAGCAAGCGAAAGAGAGAGAATGTTGTTGCAGCTGGAGCTAATCGACGTTGAACAACAAATTATTTAATTGCAAGTGTTTATATGTAGAAGGAATTGTACAGATGGCGGTACTTTCGTACTTCCTCGATCAAACGTTCAACTTGATCCATTGTTGAAACAAACAGTGCAGTGGTCACTTTAAAAATGGCGGTATAGCGGGAGGGCAATCTGGGAATCTGACCAATCACAGCCCTTGCGGTCTGTTCGAGGGGTTCGCGACGACGCAGAGGGGTCTGCGGGGGTACGCCGTCGATTCGACACAGAAGCATAAAACAGGCTTTAGTCAAAGATGCACTCTTCTTCCTGTTGCCATATGTGTGTAGAAAGTTAAAGATAGGCCTAAGCAATGCACAACATTAGTAGTGCACTACATTGTCTCTCACACAGTTGCATGCATGACTATGTGTCATTTTGAATGTCTTCACAATTCGAGTGTGGGAGTGTTTTCATCCAAGTGTTTTCTGATCCAAGATCACTTACTCAACTGAGAAGAGCTGAGTGTGATCACTCAATCTCTCAATGGTCTTTACGAGATTTAAACTATATTTGACATGTCCAGGCACACATTTATTACCAATATAATTGTAGTCATAAATCTGTTACATTTTCATTTTGAACACTGACTATTTGACTAAAATTTGCACATTTGACCTTTGACCAGAAATATATTTTGAAACTCATAAAAAAAGAACATTGTTTAAAAAACTAAATTCAAATTGAGTCTCTACAGGTATGTTAAATGTTTCAGGCTAAAGTAAATGCAAAAGTTTCATATTTAGTGCATTGCAGACACTAAAATAAAGCCTAATACTCTGAATCTATAAATATAGTACATAAACCGTTTCGCATGACTTGTAAAAACCTGCTTGACATATTTACAGTGCGATTGTCTTTTTCTTTTGTTGTGGATGGTGTTAATGAGTTTGTTATTAAGAACAACGTGCTTTCCTAGATTCCTAAAATTTCACTTTGAAACTGGTTTTCGTAAGTGTGTGTTTTCAGGTCCCAAATAAACAGCCAAAACGCATTAAAAGTTTTTATTTTTTATCAAATAAAACCGGAAAATGTTAGTAATTTTCCGTTTTTATTTGAAAACTATGTCGTGTAAAAGGCCCCTTAGTGACAATGCCGATTTTCATGTTTTTGTTATGGTGACATATCCGCTGTTTGTGTGCTAGAGAAATCGAGAGATATTTTGATATTGTTTTTATCGGATGAATTGATCTTCCACAGTGAGCTTGGAGGTACAGAGCTGTGTAAAATGGGATACCCCTTTGTTTTCACTCTCTATCTGACTTTCTACTTCACTTGAGTCTAGAGATTGGCCACCAAGAGACAAAGATGTCTATAATATTTGAAAAATCTTTCTGTTAACATTTTTCATTCATCTTAATATCAGTGGCTTGTGTTTTAAATGCTCTTTGCAAAAACAAAACAAAAAGGGTATCTACCAAAAGGGGCAAGAAGTTTGACCAGCCAAACTTTGATTTTAGTTTTATATATATATATATAGAATGTTTTTTTTTTGTATGAAAGGAGAATCATTGACCAAGTTGGTCAAAATAAAAGTGCACCTGTTAAGATGCACCCCCTTTTAAGAAAAAAACAAAAGAAATGACATATCCATTGCTAAAATAGATGACAGTCCATCAAATTTCACAAAATTGACTTTGTTGCTGTTTAGAAACTAAATGCACCTAAAGCCTTACATCTTATCATGTTCTGTTTCACATTTGGAGATGGTATTTCTAAAATCTGTGTTTTATTAAATATTATTTAAGGCCATGCCATGTGATGTTATTTAGTGAAGACCCTATAATGCTAACTGATGTTTATTCACATCTTCTAAGCATCCATTCAGTCTGTTATCTCTATGTTCTTCACTGCAGGTTTCTAACCCTGCACACATTCACAGCTCTCCGGCAAGATCAGGATAGTCGTGGGTATATTAATGTATATTAAAATACTTTGTTCTTTCAGACACAGTAGCCCAGCTGATTCCGGATGAAGGCGCTCCAATGTATGAAAGGGTACAGCAGTACCGTGAGCTGCTGGATGGACTGCCCATGGATGCTTACACACATGGATGCATCCTGCATCCTGAACTCACAATTGACTCCATGATCCCAAAGTACGCCACCGCTGAAATACGTAGTAAGTGATGCTACAATTCAGTGCAATGTTAATTCTAGAGTTGCAGTACAAAATTGCAAAGATGTCTTTTATTTTGTGAAATATGTATACTCTTAAAATAAAGTCATCTATGGCAACAATTTATTGACAACTATGGTTCCATAAAGGACCTTTAACATCCATCAATCCTTTACATTGGACAAAAGGTTCTTCGTTGGGGGAAAAGTTCATTGGAATTTTCAAATTAGATTTGAAATATTTAGATTTTAGATGATTAAAATTAGGGATGTGCCCGAAGCCTAATTCCGAATTCGAAAAGGCACGAACAATGAGTAACACACACTACGAAGCCCTTAAAGGAGTAGTTCACTTTTAAAAAAACTTTTGCTGATAATTTACTCACCCCCATGTCATCCAAGATGTCCATGTCTTTCTTTCTTCAGTCGAAAAGAAATGAAGGTTTTTGATGAAAACATTCCAGGATTTTCTCCATATAATGGACTTCATTGGGAACCAAACGGTTCAAAGTCCAAATGAGAGTTTCAGTGCAGCTTCAAAGGCTTTAAACGACACCAGCCGATGAATAAGGGTCTTATCTAGGACCCTTCGAGTCATGACTCGAAAAAAGATTTGTTCATTTTGATAAACGAGCGCACGAACGCTCATCACAGAACAGAGCAAGGCGAGCATTTGTGCTTATAAAACTTATATTTTTTTATTTATTTTTTAAATGAACGTTTGTTTCGCTAGACAAGACCCTTATTCATCGTCTGGTGTCGTTTAAAGCCCTTTGAAGCTGCACTGAAACTCTCATTTGGACCTTGAAACGTTTGGTTCCCAATGAAGTCCATTATATGGAGAAAAATGCTGGAATGTTTTCTGGAAGGGACTAAAGTATTTTATCAGGTGAAAGGCAGAATACAAATATTTTTATTAAGTTATATAGACATTATATAACAGTTTCAGGTAATGTTTTAGTGTTGGTAACATGTCCCATATTGTCCCACACAAACGGAGTAATCGTCCCACATTTGGTTTGTTTGATGGTGCTTATACTCTGAGAGTTAGTTGACATGTAGTTAACTAAAAAAGTTATTTTTAGTTAGCAGAATGTCTAAAGTGGACCATTGAAATAAATTATTAACCAAACCCCTTGTTGGAAACTTTATTTGTAAGTGTGTAGAAAGCAAATTCTGTTTCTTTGCAAAACCTGCTTAGTCTGGGAATCCTTTTATTTATCTGATTTCACGTTTTGAAGCAAATTGCTGTTTCAAATGTTGACTATAAAGTGACATCCTCTCACTAAAATGCTCTAATGCTGCCCTGTTTATTCAGAGTTCACCGATATTAAATCCAGTGTAAACCCGCAATGCTCACCTATTACGTAACATGCCAATATAATGTAAATCAAGCCAAAGAGTTGTTCCAGCCAATGCACTGCAGCATAATAAATTGTTATGGAAACCCGGCATAATTGCAAACAAATCTCTTTTATGGTTTACAACTTGGAAAGGGTCTTTTTGATAGGTGTTGTTTATCACAGTCACTGCTTTGATTTTATGTGTAAAGTCCTATTAAATCCCTTAATTACTTGTCTGGAATGACAGTTACAGTATTAACTATTGTACACATAACTCATCACAAAGGAATTCCTAATGTTCCCTGGGGAACTTTACAGATTTCTGGGGTTTTATGATGTGAATATGTAATCAGATGAAAGCTCTCTTACTAACATAGACATTTTGATTTCTCTCAGGACATTTGGCCAATGCAGCATCTGAACTGATGAAGTTGGACCATGAGGAACCCCAGCTGACAGAGCCATACCTCTCTAAGCAGAAAAAGCTCATGGTAAGCTAGCAGTTTTACATGCATACACATATCTTATGTGCAGTCATATCTTAATCTGAAAATGAAATAATAGCTTGTCATCATCTTAAATACTTACATTGGTAGGCAAAGATCTTAGACCACGACAATGTGAACTACCTGAAAAAAATTCTTGGAGAGTTGGCAATGGTGCTAGACCAAGTAGAGGCAGAGCTGGAAAAAAGAAAACTGGAATATCAAGGTATGTATTTTTTTCTTAATTTCCCCTCTCCCCTCTTAACAACAAAAAAATAAATAAAAACATATTTTTTAAATATAAAAATAAAACAAATGATCATAATCTTATTTCAAGTTATTTTATTTCATATATATATATATAACCATAATACAATAAATTAAATTTTTATTTAATAAAAATCAACAGGAACATCCAAGGCACTCTCTTTAAAAAAGTTAAAAAGCCTACATTTCTATGGCTTGGTCATAATCAACACTATTAAAACCTTCTTTTAATATTTTAACCATTAAGATCATGTTTAAAAATATGTTGTTATAAAAATATTTTATTTTATTAAGACAAAACAACATTAACAAAAATGAAATTAAAATATAACAAAGGTTATTTTAATTAAAACAATGTTATTGCATTTTATTATTACAAAAATACCAAGTGTTTTTAAACATGATCTTTATATTGGTGATTATTATTCCTGTTTATCTCATGTAAATCACAAAAATTCACATTTGTTATTCTGTGTTTTTTTTTACATTATATTAGCTTTGAGAATTGCTGTTTTATGGTCTTACTTTTTCAAGAACATCTACAAGTTGTCTTTCCTGTCTACACAGGTCAAAAATGTGAATTATGGCTTTGTGGACCTACTTTTACACTAGCTGATATTTATCTTGGAGCCACATTGCACAGGCTCAAGTTCTTGGGACTCTCAAGGAAATTCTGGGAGGACGGGAGCCGGCCGAACCTGCAGTCGTTTTTTGAGCGGGTGCAGAAGCGCTACGCTTTCCGCAAGGTGTTGGGGGACATCCACACGACCCTGCTCTCGGCAGTTCTACCCAATGCATTCCGAATGGTAAAAAAGAAGCCCCCGTCCTTCTTTGGGGCGTCCTTCTTAATGGGCTCTCTCGGGGGGATGGGCTATTTTGCCTATTGGTTTTTAAAAAAGAAATACATGTAGTGAATGTGCTCTTGTAGTGTTTTGTGTCTGTGTATCTGTGCGATGGTTGAACTTTTCGGTAACTGTTTTACGAGAGCAGGAAAATCAAGACAATATACAGAGGTCAACACTATTACTTACTAGGGTGAATACTTAAATAAATATATAATGAGAACATTCCAAGACTAGGAATTCTTCTTAACAGCACCTTCTCTGGTAAACGATGCCTTGATTTATTTAATTTTTTTTATGATTTACTGGTTTATTTTATTCATATTAGGCTTGCATACAGCATAAGTATTTTCTGTTGTTCTTTCCAGCTTATAAACACTACACATTCTGACATTTAGGACACCTGTATTCAATTATAAAGTAAAGCACAACGGTCAAAGTGTATTATAAACTTAAATCCCAAAATAATATTTGTTAAAGGTGCAGTAAGCAATTTCTGAGAAAGTCCCTGTCCCAAATGGCACACTTCATATGCACTTGCGGTCTTGTGGACTTGCAATGGGCTCTGCGTGCACGTCTCTGTGAAGTCCATAAGACAAAGGGTGTCCAATTTGTCATTTTTACCAGTGATTTTGTTCATTTGACAAGAAATCTAATGCGTACAATATGCTTTGAATTGGATGAATAATCTATAGGCCCTTTCACACAGAGATTCCGGAAAATACACGGATAATGTGACCCGGCATTTGTCCCGGGATTGTTCCACTATGACACACCCCTTACGGTATTGGTCCTGGCTTTTGTTCACACAGCTCGCGTTCCGGGACTGATTCCGGCAATGTTACTAGGTCGGAGATCGGTGCCGGTATCAATCCCTGGTCGTGTTTGCGTTCACACAGAAGGCGTTCTGCCAATTTCCTGGGATCAACACGCTGTGTGAAAGGGGCTTTAGTGAATAATTGAAACTGAACATGCGCAAATGCTGCAAGTCAGAACCAATCAATCACAGAGAGCGTTCACACACGGCCAACAATGCATTCCAACCACTAATCTATACATTGTCATTAGATCGGTGATGCTTAACAGAAGACTATTTCACAATAAACAAATTTTAGCCAACATTCTTTGTGCAATTAAATTGTTTTAAATTGAATGTTAAAAGTTCATACTGATGTTCTATTCTGTAACAAATTGTAATTTAAATCATACACTGTCAGAATAAAAAGGTCACATTTAATTGGTGCAACAGCCTGTCACTGGCAGTCCATTAAGAAAATGAACATTACAGTGGCCATAGTTCAAATAGGCCTATAATGTTTTGTAGATTTCCATGGTTACCACACCAAGTAAACATTTTAACCATGTGTAAATAAAAATATAATCTAATAAATTCCAATTAAGGCATATTGAATGTTAAACTGCCTTTCAAATATAATGTTTAATGGATCTCATTAACCATTTTAATCTTAGTAATTCAATAATTTAGGAAAGGTTCGGTTTACATGTATCATTGTATCGGCATCGACGATACTGGCCTTGAAAGTATCGGTATCGTATCGAAAACAAAATAAGTGGTAGCCCATCACTAATGTAAACGTCTCCTACGGCTGATTTGCAACAGCGTTTTCCAGAAATCGTTTACTGCACCTTTAGAGTACCCTGATTTCTTAATTAAGCATCTTTTTTTTGTATTATCAGCCATTGATGGGTTTCCAAACACTTTTTCCCACGCAAAATTATGAGACTATTCTGCAAAACTTGTGAATTCATTCACTTTTTAGTGCACATTTACATGTAAAAAGCTGTTCATTAGCAGAACCCAACGCTGCACAATTTTCAGTCCTAGCAAACATTTCAGCGGCCTAAATATTACAAATCTTACCAATAATGCAAAAACAAAAAAAATACTAAAGAGAACAAACCAGAATGTTTTCCTCATACAAGACTGCCAATCTAAGCATTTTCTTTCCTATGTAATTTTTTTTTTTTTTTTGGGGGGGTTCTCACTAGCAAAATTTCTCAAAAGTCTACTAAACCACAGAATGAGTAAAGTTTCTTGCTTGAAATGTTGGTGATGTAGAAATGTGAATGTGAAGTGCCAGTTCTGAGTGTAAACGATACTGGGAAATTTGGTGTGAAAACCAACACACTATTATATTCAGTTACAAAACTAGGCTTATAATAAACACCAAATGGCCATTTAAACTAGCATATCCATTTTCAAGCATGCAGCTGTTTGATGCAATGAGTTTATAGCCAAAGACAGTGACAGTTTTTTCTTTCTTTGTAAGTTTTCAGTAGTGTTCAGAAAAAAAGGAGAGTATACATTCTTCTTCTTAAGTCATCTTAATTTGACTTACAAAAAAAAAAACTGTGAGACCGTTAAGTGTTTGCCAGCAAACTCAAGAATATAACTGAATATTATATGAAGTTCTTTATCACCTCACACACAAGCCATATACAACTGTGGAGATGTATTAATACTCTATTTCATTTTATGTACTGCTGTTAGCTACAACTGGACAGTACATCTGTACATCTCGAATCTCACATAGAAATACACTTATTATGGAATGATGGATGTAAACTGAGATAAGTGGTGATCGCTACTCTAAAACGGACTGGAAGTTAAATTAATACATGAAAAATATATTGATATCTGTGGTCATTAGACTTCACAATAAATTATTTTATTTTGTAATTTTTATTTTTATATTTTTAAAATATGCATTTATTTACAGTGCTTTCTAAGATGTTTGTTCATGAGCCTTAATTTGTTCAGTTGCCATCGATTTCAATAAATGAAAATGCTTACCTTAACCTTTTCGTATGGTCTGTGTGCAGCACAAGCATTTAGTACAAAAACAGCTGTTCAATCAATGACTCAAAAAAAAAGAAATGCATTGAACTCTCCAAAATTAATGTTATCAATGCCAAGGTTGGATGCATAATTTGCTAAAAAAAAAAATGTACACTGTACCTTGAATGCATTAATTCAATGTAAATTTAAAATGAGTAAATGACGATTAATTGATTTGCTGATAATATTCAATATTTAAATGAAGTGTAAAATACCCAAACATATTTTAATTTAAATAATCTGGTATTGCTATAAACATGATCAGATTTGAAGGTGTTTATTGGTACTATTGACATTGCAGTTAGAAGAAGAAAAAAAATAAAGCCATGTACTTTTTGATTAGTTTTACCCATAAATACATTTGTTTAACCAAGACAACATTCATAAAGAAAACAAAGCATACAAAAAAATAACCCCAGTCCTCCTTATATTGAAATCCAGTGTTACTCAGATTTCTCCCTCTAATTTGGTCCCCTCTAGCCTGAGGTCTGCATCATTCCTGCCCACAGTGAAAAGGCTGACGACAGCAAGCAGGGCGGCCAGCATCATCCCTGCACAGCCTGCAAACATGTGTCTGGTGCCACTGCCGGCCTCACCCGCGCCGGCCCCCGACACCTCCCCGTGAAGAGCCAGCAGCCCCAGGCAAGCCAGGAGGTGAAGAGGCAAACGAAACCAAGCCAGCACGGCAGCTCTGCGTTCCATGGGAACCACGCGGCCCTGGAGAAAACTTACGGCCGGGAAATAAAGCCCGCAGGCCAGTTCCAGCAGAAGGAAGGCGAGAAGAGATTCCCTCGGCCGGGGCTGGCCGGGCACGGTGGAGAACGTCAGCATGAAGAAGGAGAAGAAAGCTAGTAGAACGGCTAAGCAGAGCAGGTGACCGGGTTGGAGTCGATACGGGGCCGACGTGGCCAGTCGGAAAAGCGTGGAGCCGGCCAAGCTGGCCGCCATCAGACTGGAGAAAATGATTCCTAGCGGCGGGCCGTGTGGGTCCAGTACAGGAGTCCAAAGAAAAACAAATATATAGAGAACGCTCTCAAAAAGTGCCTGAACGCCACCCAAAAGCATAACGCGGCGGTCAGACAGCAAGCAGCGCAGGCCGTCCACACAGCTACGCCAGAAACGGGACCGCGTTGACATTTGCAACTTGGGGGCGTTTAGAGGGTTGAGAAGGGGGGCGTTCTTGTCTCCGTGTGCGGCCTCCTGTCTGTCCTCCTGACCCCATTCGGACAGCACAAACCAGGCACAGGCGGCAAGGCTTGGGATCGCCAAGAGGAACGGAGCGACCGGCCCCAGCCCAAGCCATTCGGCGAACAGATTCGCCACCAGCCCGGCGCCAACTGCCAGTCCGTGATTCCAGTTTGCGACTTTACCGAAGGTAACCGGAATCCATTCTTTGGGAAAATCATGGACTTCAACGTGACCGTGCACATACCAGGCCTCAAAAGTGGCGGTTAGCAGAGAGGTGGACAGGCCTCCGAGAACACGTCCTAGTATGAGCACAAAATAGTCTTGTGACAGCTTGGTAAAGCAGCAGATAGAATAGGTCAGGCAGAAGAGGAGACACGTATGTCTTCGCCCAAGAAACTGTGGCAGCCAGCCGGCCACTGGGGCAAACAGCACGCAAGAAGCCAGACCGAATACATATAGGATGGCGATCTGAGACTCCAGGAAGTTGTAATGTCGATACAGTTTATAAAGGTAAGGTCCCTGCAGCCAGTCCGCCCAGAGGGCCAGGAGATACGCCTTCAGGAAGAGCTTCTGAAAACGCTGGAATGCCGGATTGGCGACAGCTGTCTGCGTGGCCTGGAATGTGGTGAGACGACGGGCTGCAATCTCTAAAGCCACGCACAGTCCTGCCAAAACTATAAACGCCAGGTATGCTGTCACAAACATGATGGACAATAGTTTTCAGGTGACTGGAGAAATCTGGAATAATCCTAGATCATCATCCCCCTGCAGATCTTGGTCCAGTCAAATCTATAGTTCATCTGAGGAAAGGGACAAATGGAAATTTATGTAAGAAGTGCATTATATAGACCATAAATGTTAATAACAATAGTTTTGTACCAGCACAATTCTTACCAAAAATGACATTCTTCATCATGCGACTTCTGGATGAACCCAATGGAGAAATCATCATGTCAGACTGACAGCTTGACTTCTGAAATGAACCACATGGCTTTATATATATATATATATATATATATATATATATATATAAAACGTGATAGATAGATAGATAGATAGATAGATAGATAGATAGATAGATAGATAGATAGATAGATAGATAGATAGATAGATAGATAGATAGATAGATAGATAGATAGATAGATAGATAGATAGATAGATAGATAGATAGATCTTAAATCTATATAGATAGATAGACCATAAATGTTTGGTTAAAAGCAAGATCTTAAATCTATATAGATAGATAGACCATAAATGTTTGGTTAAAAGCCTTAAATACGCCTACCTTACCATCTTAACATTGTCCAAAAGACTTTTCAAACTCTTCGCTTATTCTGTGAGGTAAAAGATCTTTTCTAAATATATGCATAAATGTCTGCAATATTTTCTTATCTACTCTACAATATCCGTGTGTATTTCCGGGTTATTCAAACGTAATGACGTAAAACACACGAACGTCTTTGCGCAACGCTTATAAATATTAATGACGTATTACGGCGTTCAACCCAGTGGCCAGTAGGGCTCTCTGATTGGTTACAAAGCAGAAGTTAGCAACGATTGATTAACCAGAGCCGAATAAACGAATTATTCTGTTGTCAGAGATTGACTGACAATATTAATTAGGGTATGTAGCAGAACACTCCATCAAGTTTACCAGGCAACGTTGGATTAAGCGTGAATGAACGAAATGCCATTTCGCTCCTGTGGCTGGCCACACGATGTCACTATAACACCGTTTACTATGTAAAGCAATGCCTTGCTTGAATAATGTTATGGATGATATCTCTAATGGCTCTCAGATTAACTGAAGACAATACAATACCACTAAAATATGATAGCTTCTACAAATAAGTTTTTAAAGCATAAGAATAAAAATTAATCTGGCTACATGCATGAGTTTGAACTGATTCTGTTAGAAATAAAGACTAAATAGCTTATGATTTTGCAGTGTCAGTTTGACAACCAAACCATGACTGACAGTTTCAGGCCAGTTAAAATTATTGCTGCATTACTTTAAAAAGCTCATGACATAAAGTCTACTGATGAAAACCATGACAACCAATAATACTTATAAATCTTTAGAAAGAATAAAGCATGCATTGAGGCAAAGCTCACGAGGCTGCATTTATTTGGTCAAAAATATACCAGTTTTCTATTTTAATATATTTTAAAATAAAATGTATTTCTGTGATGCAAAGCTGAATTACTCCAGTCTTCAGTGTCACATGATCCTTCAGAAATCATTCTAATAGGATGATTTATTGATCAAGACACATTTCTTATTATTATTAATGCTGAAAACAGTTCTTGCTGCTTAACATTTGGATTCTGTGATATACTTTAAGGCAAGTAAGATTTTGGGATGCATCAAAAAGTGACATTTATAATGTTACAAAACATTTCTATTTTTTAATTATGTATAATTGTTTCCAAAAAAAAAAAAAAAAAGAGCAGCAAAAACTATTTTCAACAATAATAACCATATAGCACCAAAAAATAGTTTTTCTGTATTTTTTTAAAACTAAATGTCAGGTAGTGTGTATAGCTTTAAACAAAACAGACAACATTAGAATAGATAATCTTGTATTTATATCGGTTCTACAGAAGAAAACAATTTACAAAATATACATTTCCATTGAATAACATAACTTTATCATCCATAATAAAAATCAACTCAACTGATCAAATCAACCGAACAGATAAACAGTCCATTGCTAACAAGGCACCAGACGCCCCGTCTCGTTCAAACACACAACTGCGAATCCCTCATTCTCTGAACAGGCAGTTAAATCAGTGTAACTGTGCAGTATTTTCAGTAAGAAAACAACAAAACATAACATGCATAGGAGAGAATGCTGGTTTTGTATCCCTAGATTCAGATTTATTCTTAAAGGAAAATGTGTGGAAATATACTGTATTCAGCTTGATGATGGTAATAATAAAGCAAACAAACAAATATGAGCTTTATCTAATCTCAAAAGTTAAAATGTTTCAGTTGTTTCTTTAATTTTTTAAAGACTTTAAATGGTTATTACAGATGCAGTAAATCCCCTGTAATTAAATCTATTCTTTATTGCCTCAAACTAAAGTTTTAATGTGATGTAACTGTATAAGTGATATCTACGGCTTATGTACATGGTGTTTCTGTCCCTTTCTCAAACACACAGGCACATACACTGACACAATTGGCTTTAAATTACCCTTCTACTGTATACATGGTCTACTTGACTAAAGACTGTATATTTCACTTTGCAGGCAGTAAAAAGGAATGACCCGTTTATTTGGTCTTCAAAGTTCTGTGGTAAGCTTATTTATGATGATATGACTGGCAAAACGTCCCCTCGGATAAATATAATCGACATGGCGAGCCAAACAGAAGGGCGATGCCTGTATGAAAATGATCCGTGAAAGCTTAAAGGAAGATATAGTCTTGTTTAGAGCTTGCTGAGAGCCATCTGTTCATTGTGTTCCTCATTAACAAGCATCATAAACGATGGTTCCTATGGGAACACGCTCAACGCCTCCCCCTAAAAAGCAGTCCTTCTCTTAACCAGGAAAGGTGTTCTCTGATTGGCCTGTCGCGGCCTTTGGTCGAGTTCCAGCTGCAGCGACTGATGGCTCAGGGATCGATACGGAAGGCCAGCAGCTTGTCGGAGTGAAGGTTGTTGAGAGTGCGCAGGTCTGGAAGACGCAGGAGCAGTTTGGAAAAGAGGGAGTTGTCGTCGGGACGGCGGCGGTTGACTAAGGTGCGCAGCGCTCGGATGAGTCCTTCCTGTAACTGTTCGACAGCCACAAAATCCAAAATGCCAGAGCAATCTGTGGATAAACGAAAAACTATTCATTATCGAAAAATTATAAATAAATATTGAAAATAAATGATAAAATATTTATATATAGTCACAATATCTGTTACCTATAAATACGATTTTTTATTTATTTATCAGTATTCAATATTGTATTTTTAATTATACAGTATATGCATATTAATGATTGGGATTTTTAGAGTTTTATTTGTTATTTAAAAATGCTTTTTAATTTGGTCAGTTTTTTTTCCACACAATGAAAGTCAGTGGGGTTCACTGTTGTTTTGGACCCCATTGATATTTATTTTACTATATGAAAAATGTGTTAGAACAGTGTTATATAATAATAATTTTGGCTATTTATCTGACATTTTTGGCTTATAGGCTAGAACATATATAACAATATTGCATTTAATATGCATCGCTATTATAAATAATTTGTTCAAATCGCTAACACTAAGCATGAGCGATAATTATATACTGTCTTTCCCACAGAAAGCATACCCTGTGATTCATGTACTAATTAACAAATGAACTAATTGCAGTGTTGCTCTTACCTGCAGAAACCAGCACCACAGCCATGAAGAGTGCCAACTCATCTGACTCCAGGCCCAGACAGCTCAGCGAGGAACTGAACTCAAACATGGCGTCCAGCAAGGAGCCCATACCAAGACCCCTAAGGGTGCCCAGCGGGTATGTTTGTCCATTCAGGAAAGTCAGTGATCGTTCCTTGTGGTTGAACAGTGAGCTAAACCTCACCATAAGAACCTGCAAAAGGCAACCAAATAAGATGGAAGTGAAAAGATTGACCCAGATGATCAAAAACGACAACAATAAGTTAGCATTTAGGTTGATGTCCCTAAGGGGCTTAACACTGCACCACTATCTACACATTGCTGTGTTTGTTTTGAGTGATTTGACAAGTCAACCTTTGGCTTAACCAATGGCATGAGTTTGAATTAGGACGAATTGGGAAATCTGTTTGGGTAGTGCTTCTTTAATAGCAATAAAGGGATGTGAAAGCCAAGGTCAGGGGAATTAAAGGGGTTATGTAATCAGTACCTGGAAAGTGCCTGCTTTGAGCAACATGACTTGATCATGCTGGCAGAGCTCCTGGAAGCCTGGAATGCCCTTTGCGAATTCGACCACTTCACGTACAGCCGGCGTAAAGCACTGTGAGAAAGACTCCCACACCTGCTGACTAGAGACACCCGGTGCTGACACGGGGCATGCGTTCAGTGGACAAGCCTATGAGAGAGGCAGCATAGACATTATTAGAATTATACTTAAACGTAATATTTCTACGAACATAAATGTTCTCATTATATAAATCCAGTGCTGGTAGATATAAATCCAGACACTGGATTACATAATCAGATTCCAAAAATGAAATACTTGTAACTAGATTATTATATTTGAAAATACTCTTAATCAGATTATAGTTATTTTTTATTAATTACATGATAACTGCATATTCAGAAAATGGTAGTAAATTCATAGATTCTCCCAAATTCCCAAATTTTTTTATCTATTTAAAATATGATTGCTTATTTATGTTCGAAAGTCAATATTTAATCTTTTTTGTTTTCTTTTAATTTAAAAATATATCGCTTTATATTTACATTTATATTTTAATATTTTAATTGAAATATTTAAAGGTATAGTTCACCCAAAAATTAGATTTTTTTTGGGGTAAATGATGAATTTCGGGTGAGCTATCCCTTTAATTAATTATTAGCTTTCCATCGATTTAGGAATCCAGTTTAGTTCCTTCACAAACCCCAGTTCAGGAAACCCTGACCTAATGTAACGTTTAATGGACAACAAAGAATGGCATAAATATGAATTCTCTTTGTGTTTTTTATATCAATATGGTACAAGATTAAACTAAGCTAAACTTATTAAACAAGTTAGGACAAAAGTAATCTAAAAAGTAGTCCGATTATATTACCTAAAATGTGTAATGTGTAACTAAAATTCAGTAATGGGCTACATTTTGTAAGTACCGGTAATCTAGCAAGTACTGTAAAACATTCCTCACCAGCACTTTGGAGCCAGCAGCCAACTTAAACGGACACGAGGCCTGGCTTTGGGACTCGCCGGCCGCGTAGCTGTTGTAATCATCGTGAGTGGGTTGTGAGGGCAGGCTAACGCTAGACTGGGAGTGATTTTGGTTGAATGAAGGCGCGTAGCTGTACCGACTGTTGTCCACCAATGAGACGGGGCATTTGCTGTCGCTGGAAGGGACTGGGCATCTGGGCGGTGCCGAGAAGCTTTCATGGGTAGTTGCGTGGTACCCTGTGAGAGAGTTTGCATGAGGATAGTTGCCGTCCTGAGAAGGGTTGTTTTGAAAGGTGTTCGTTCCGCTGTTGCCCGCACGCTTGCTTAGGTGGTCCTGCGTGTTTGTGAAGATGTTCTGGTAGGCTCGGGATAAGGCACCAATAGCCTCTTTGGATTGGTTCTCGCTGGGGCTTTGAGGAGGTTCACGTGGTGGTGAGGTTTCCATGCCCATGGTGGACGATTCGTTGAGGCTGTTCATGTAGCTCTGCATCTCATCCAAAAGCCGCTGCTTCTCTCGTTTGGGGATGCGGCCGAAACGCACAGCTAGGGGTCAGAGAGAGAAACAATAGGTTTAAAGAGATGAAGTCTCTTTTCTGATTGTGTCTGGTTCACCTGTGCATGTTATTTCAAAGAAAATGTTTTATTATAAACTTTATTTCCTCTGAAAAATGCCATTTAAAGAGACAGTTTACCCAAAAAATTGAATTTGGAAAGTCATTATTTACTCAGTCACGTTGTTCCAAACCTGTATGACTTTCTTTCTTTTGTGAAACACTCAGACAACAAAACACTCAGTGGGGTCCAAAACAACATTGAACCATATCTTTTATTGTATGAACAAAAAAGCATCTTCTTTCATATTAATAGTCGAAAGACAGTAGGGGTGTAACGTTATTCGAACCGAACCGAAAAACCGCGATACAGAACTCACGATTCGATTAAGTACCGAACATTATATTTCAATAACAAATCAGAGTAAAAACACAAGTTACTGCAAAAACGGCCTTATGTTCAGTTTACATGTTTTCATACAATGTGTTGTGTGTTGATTATTATATCTAAAAAATAAATAGCATCGGAATTTAGGTTAAAAGTCTAGGCTACAACCTTTAATGTTATAGTAATGTGCGGCGCCCTGTATAGTTTAACGTTACAGCATTACCAGATTTTTTTTAATCCTTGTGAAACCTTTAGCCTAATTGTAATTGAATTAATTTAAAGACAAAGACATTTTTTTATTAAACCACTGTTTAAAAAAAAGAAAAGGAAAAAAAGTAGCAATTTTAGCTTTCCAAACCGAACCGAAACGAGACGTCAAAACCGTGGGAAAACCGAACTGTCAGTTTTGTGTATCGTTACACCCCTAAAAGACAGTCAGGTTGAGTAAGTAATGATAGCATTTTCAATGCACCCTTTAAATGCATTGTGGATTTTATTTTAGAAACCAAATAAATATCTGTGATGTATTAAAGACAATTCATCTGAAATACAGTAGTCATACACCAAGTTAAGAATACAAAATGATGATAAACAAAACTGATAAACCAGGCCATTAAGAGGTCCTACTGATCAGTAATCAAAATGTCCATGACACATTTCTTTTATAATAAAGTGAATATTGCCATCAGAAATAAGCTAGTATGAAAAAAAATTAAATATTGAATGAAAATTGGTTTGGAAGTTTTTGAATAGCACAACCTCAGTGTAAGAGACAACTCACTATCCAGTACTGACAACGGTATGCTGAATTTTTGGTCATTGTGGTGTAAAATATGGATGAACATTAAATGTGTCAGTGCTGTTTTCTATGCTTTTGCATCTTTAAAAATCCCTTCCGCAAAGAAAATCTGTCAGCTGTTGAGTCTAAAAATAGCACCATTGCAACAATGTGTTAACTCCCCCCACTCTTCATCTCTCTCTCCGTCACTACCTCCCCTTCCAATCTTCATCCCTATGCTACTCCTCTCTGAAGCCGTAAGTAGGGCAGTGGGTCGGGCAGAACTTGATGACAATGCCACGGTAATTGGAAGAGAAACTAATGATTGTGATGAAGAGAAGAGAATATCATTTGGCAGATTGAGGTGACAGTAGACGTAAGGGTTTGTGGTATATACTGGTTTTACCAGATGTGATAAGGATGCTCAATATATCTAAGGTTGACAACATCTGAGAAAATGAGCTAAGAATGGGGGGGGGGGGGTATTTTTAGCTCTTTGCAACTAACATGCATTGGTTGAGCATGATAAATATGGTTAAATACGCCATTCAGAATTGCCTTTTAAATTGCAATTCAACTTCCTGTGGCCAATTCAAATTCCAACAGACCAAAACTGACTTTTCCTTGAACTTGAAAATGTTGGTATGAATCTGATATCAAAACTACAAAGGCTCATCCTGTGCAAAATATTGTGTGACACATATAGCTGCACTGATTACTGTGCAAAAGCAAGATCATAGCGGAAGTAAAACCATGCCGGCCCATCGTGTCAAACCAAACATCTGTTTGTATAACACAACCAAAATTAAACAACTAACAGAAGTGAAATCAGGGCGTCTGCTTTATTGTGGCATTTGAGGCAGTTAAATGAGGTTTTCCTGTTTGTGCTAAGATCCAGTCAGAGAAACAGGTTTCTAGGTTGTGGGCTCTAGCACTTTCAGGAGCCATGGTAAAAATGACTGTTTACCTCCCTCAATTTGCACCCAATAGACTCGTTTCACTTGGTGCCCTCTTAGAACAACATCCAGTGCAATCCTTGATCACAGCCTACCCTACACTGTCACGCACATCCGCTGGTAAACACTGCATGAAATGCCACCGAGAACCTGACAGAAGTCAAACCGAGCTTAAATAGGTCACAATGTACCAGTATAATATGGGCGCCAGTTGCTCCATTTCCTAAAATTCATCATATTTATTTTTCATTCCAGTGTTTTTAAAGTTAAATCACAGCCGAAGGCAAATGGATGAGGCAGAAGAGTTCAGATGTGTCTCTTTTTCTGCATCCCTTGCTTAATTTTTGCTGCAGAACAACATTAATTGCTGAGGATGGTGTAAGGGCATGAGCGAGGTAATTAAGTCGCCCGTGTTCCAATTTCTGAAAATAATTCCTGTATTTGCTGCAGTTTTCCAGATGACAGATAGCTTCAGGGACTGCGTGACTCCATCCCTCATAAATCATTGTCTCTAGGAGGGATTCGGAGGCAGGGCTTAGGGAACGTGTGAGGGGGAAGGGTAAACCGATGGAGAGAAGGAAGTGAGAAAAAGGAGGGACAACAAAGGGCACAGTCAAACTAAAAGAAACTTGCTCTCTTGAAAGTTACCAATGGTGCAAATCTAAAAGAGGAAAGTAGGTTGAAGGGGGCGGGTGTGGTGCTGGCCTGAAGAATGAGATGAAAGTACGGCTTTCCGCTATTTGTCATATGTCAGTGACCTGATAACCTCCTAAAATTCTCTTACCGTCGCGGGACATGCCAACAGACAGGCATTTTTTGAAGCGGCAGTGTTGGCAGCGGTTGCGGTTCATGCGCATTATCAGGCAGTTCTCGTTCTTCACGCACATCTTGTAGTTAATGTTCTGCTGAATGCTACGGCGGAAAAAGCCCTGCAAAGAATGAAAGACAAACTTTAGAATTAACCACGATGCTAGAAAAGACTTGTTTATTGTATCAGAGGCTCATTATTATGTCTTACCTTGCAGCCTTCACATGCATGGACACCATAGTGGAACCCTGATGCAATATCTCCACATACTTTACAAAGGAGCACCATGCCTCCAGTTTCTGCTCAGATAAAAATAAAACATGAAGAGAATGAGGTCAGGATGTAAAGGAACACAAAGAAGGTGTCCTAAATGATAGGCACTCATTATTCTTTCGTGATAGAAGATGCTGAGTGAGTGTGTTGCGGGTGTTAAAAAGGGAAAACACTTACTGGTAAACGTGCCAGTGAATCCACAAGGCCTTTTACCGGCGATTGGATGGGAGTAGCTGTGCGGGTTTGATCCTGCCGTGGAGTTATTGTAGATTTCAGGGAACTGAAAGACCCGTTTTGGAGAAGGTGGCGATCCAATACTTCCTTGCTGCTTGAGGGCCCCAATCTCAGTGAAGGTGACCTCATCTGGTGAAGAGGGCTGGGAGTGGGAAGATGGAGACTGGGTTTGATAGCCACTAGAGGGGCTTCCTGGGCTTGGACAGGCACTGCCATTGGTACCAGCGTAGAGTATCACGCTCCCTGTGGAAACAAAATAGTATATAAAGCCTTTGACTGAATTTCTTTTTAAAAATGTAACTTTAATCAATCGAATTAATTATAAATGAATTTAAACTGATTCTTTAAAACACTTGAAGTAAAGGCAGAGATAGGAGCGTTACCTAGCTACTTCCTATGACAAGACCCCCGTTCCAAAATGGCGGCGGTTTTGACGCATGCTAAACCCCTAGGTAACGTGTATATGTCTACGCAAATAGGCTACTGACAACACTATGGCTATCTTTCACGTAAATAGGGTCCTTGTGTGCACGATATTTAATACAAAACGCTTATAGCACCTTTCAGAAGGAAGTGATGTAAAAACTGACTGGGAGTGAGTGAGGTTTCCTCAGGCTCAGTCCCTCAGATCTCACGCGCTAAAAAATAATGAAGGCTGCACAGCAACACAGTGCAATGTTAAATAACCCAGGATTTGTTGTGTGTTTTGGTTTTAATAGGCATATTTAATAGGCATAGGTATTTTAAATAAACCGTTGGCTTGTTTCATTTTCATTTCGCCGCAGGTTTCAGGTTTTCTGCATCCTATCACATCCTCTCCGGCGGTCATGCGTGCATGCAGGATGAGCTGAGAGATGGCTGAGACGCGGTCTCACGTGTTCACAAGCTCTCCCGCCTCTCCTCTCCAATAATAGCCCTGGCATAGTGCCCCAACCAAACTCCAAAACACCTGACCGCCGCTTCACATGGATTCCTGACACCGTTCCTGCCCAAACTAAATCCGCAGTCTCGTGTTAACCGCTTCAACAATCGCGAGGGTGCCGTGTCAGCTTTGCGATGATGTTAGTTCCCCCGCACAAATGCATTGCCTGAGAAAGCGGGGCAACGACGAGTCACGTTTTGCTAGAATGTGCACTGGGGCTTTGTTTAACTTTTTTTACACAGTCGGTCTCTGGACCAAGAGAATGTGATTTAGATCTGCACTGTTTAGATCACTGGCACCATGATTATTTAACAATGTAATCCAGTAGTGGTTTTCAACAGTCAACTTTCATCATTTAAGCCAGTCGTAGTTGCTTACTGTCAAGGGTCGTATGTTGTTTTGATTCGTTCAATGCTTCTTTTCAGTCCAAACTTAGGGGATTTTTGTTATATGGGAGTAAACTGTAGCTACATAAGATCACTAATGGCAGACATGTTCTCAGCATGATTTTAGGCATCATCTGTAGGCTATGGCAAATTGTGTACTTAGTTTTGAATAACCGTAAATGCACACACCATATTGATTCACACTGACACAAACCTATTTAATGGGACAGTTGACCCAAAAATTATCTGAACATTTTCTCAGCCTCATGTTCTTGCGAATGCATATCAGTAGCTAGGTCTATCTATTTTTAGTTTTTCCCTGTGTAATGCATGTTAATGTTTCCGATTCACTTTTATTGTATTTTCTTGATTGTTAAATATCTCAACATGAAAGCAAATGATAACAAAAATTAAATTTGTAGGCGAACTAACCCTTTAGTAACTGTGTACAATGATAAATGACTAGAGTAAATATTAAACAATTTTCCACTTAATGTAAACAATTTTCCACTTAATGTCTTTCAATCTGTGTTTTATGGTAAATACAAATAATTTGGAACACTTATGCAGTAAACAAGTTCAAACTGCCATCAAATGTCTTCCCTGCTCATTTGTGTGTTTTCTCATGCTACACTCAGTATTTATTTATGCTCAAGTGTTTTCGTGATCCCTCCACAGGCATGTGCAGCTAGTAAGCCCTACCTGAGTAATACTCAGCCCTGCCCATGCTTAGTAACCCCACCTACACATAAATACACACCTGACACACATGAGGCCACAGTTTAAAGTGACAATGCCATTAAAGATAACAGAACGTGTGGCGTGCCCCTTAAACAAATAGTGAGGCGCAGCTTATTTCAAAAGATTGCAAAACAATCTAAAACTTTAATCTGAGATGGGAAGGTGCCTTTGTAAAAATAACCAGCTTGTAATGGGAGGGACGGTGCAGCAGTTTCTAAAAGCTACACGAGGAGACATGCACACGTCATTGCAAGTCTGTATAAATTGGGGTCAGTGGAAACACCAGCATTAATTGAAGAATCAGCAGGTCTCTGGCAGCTCTTTTTGAGCTTAGGCAACCCATGCAAACACTAATCTGCTAGTGAGCCGAGACAAGCGTAAAAACGTGACGACTTTGCAGGGACAATAATTCCCTCCTCCCTGACCTCAAACACTGGCATGGTCTCCCTCCCTCCCTCGAGGAAAATAGCTGAAATGCTCTGTCTTGCATGACCGAATTTGTTCTTTTGACTTGTTATACAACATTTTATCATATCTGCATATATGTCCGTTGGGGATGCAAGAAAGTTGTGCATATTCCAATTTAATAAGTACAATTATTATTATTAAGAATAAGGCACATCCTTTCACTTTTAGTTTTGAGTAGGAGCATGCAGTTTGCTATTGAAGGAGATATGCTAATTTATCTATAATATTATTTATTAATTGGGTTAATACAGACAGAACTGACATGAAGTGGGTCAAAAGAAAATTAATATGAACCATTTAAGGCAGACTTTTCAAACCCATAAGGGGACTTCATTAAATATTTACAACATATATTGAGTGAGAATATTGCTTTTTTTGTAACAAATATATTTTATTCCTTATATTCATATAAATATAGTGTATTCCGTATGTTCATGTCCTTGCAATGTATATTAAGTAGCCTATAGTTTGTATTTGTTGAAGTTTTGATGGTCGGCATGCACTAAAGAATTTTATTGAATTAAAAAAAATATATAGGGTAGAAAAAGGACACACAATACTTGATACAAAATATTTCCCATTAGGCCTATGTTTAATATTTTCATAATCTGTTTTAGCTTTATTGCTAGTGTTGTCAATTTTTCCACAAGCTATTAATATATGATTAATATATAATCAAGCACCTGTTAGATTTTAGATAGATAAGCAAATCAAAGAAAAAAAGAGGTCATATGTGTTACAGAATGCCTATAACTATAAAATCCTAAACTGCTCTTAAATGGAACGCAAAAAAATGGACGTTTGGATAGGGCATTTCGTGAATGTTCTCGTGCAGTCATGAAGCTGTTTATGCGAACCACTCCAAAGAAAAAGTTGCATGAGGCGGGAAAACGTGATGAGGCGCCACACACTGACTGCATGGAATCGCTGACCCACTGACCAACCTCCCCCTTTCTAGCTTACGATCTGCACCAAAACATAGAATCACTGAAAGAGCGAAGCGGTGAGGGCGGGGGCGTGGAAATCACGCGCCGCACGCGGCTGAGAGAGCGCATGCACGTGAGGACGATTGTAGGCGCGAGGGATGCGTTTAGTGGGAAGATGCGCGCGCGCCCGCTCCTCACCCAAAAGCTCTATAAAATTCTCTCTCTATATCGAATGATGGGGCAAATATCGCATCTGGAACCTCTAATTCACCTTGTATGAACTGGGGTTAACTGATATAGGCTGAATGTGTGATGTGAGTAATCAGAGCGCCATAAACGTAATATACCATAATTGTTGCTTTTCACGAAGAATGAAAATAAAGCTTGCCATAAAACGAAAATAATTCAAGGTTCTATTGTTGCACAACAGCTCCCATCACATTTTCAGCAGAGATATCAAAAGTGATTTTCTAAAGCATCTGAAGTCAGTAGGTTAGTAAACCAAACCACAATTGGTTCAACAGTTTTGCATAAGGGACAAAAAGTTAGAGAATACAATGCTCCAGTAGTCCTTTTTGAAGATGAATGTAGAGTTATATATATATATATATATTGTGTTACGTTAGGATACCTGAAAACATTGTTATTGTATAGACCACATTAGAATTGCTCCGCTCGCTTGTTGTAAATGGAGATGCTCTTCTGACCTTTTTTTTTTTTTTTACAGTATCAGACTGAATCTGCTTATAGACTAGAATGTAGATATTTTCATATTTCAAGTTTCAAATATAGCCTACAGTCTATAGGCTACTGTACATTAAAATGATTAAGCCTGATTTCACTTGAAGCATGTGAGTATAATAACAAACATGATAATGGGACATTATCAGTATCTATCGGTCAAAATTGCGATATTGTTGCATCCCCAATACAAATCCATGTGGGTTGGATCTAAACTGAAGTCACATGTATGAATTGATGTGTAGGTAAGCCCTTTATTTACTTCCGAGTAAATAAATCTGTTTCATTGTTTCCTCTTGTCTACCACTCAAAGGTCATGTGTTCAGATGTTATTATTTCCCTGTCTTTAATGACTTCATGCACAATGTTATTGTGCCTCGTATTTGTTTTCAAGGCTTACTGTCAAACACAGAATTGACAGGGTGCGCCATGCAGACATGAGACAATGTTTCCATCACCTGTTCCGGAACGTGACTGGAGCTTTTGTAAATGAACCAGCCGTAAATTAACATTGAAGTGGACTTGGTTGACTGAGCCAGCATGTAATTGGCCCTTGGCTAACCTCGGTAATGAACCACTACCCAAATCTGCTTAACCGGTTAACCTCCTTGGATGAAGGCTAAAGTGCACTGCTCATGTAAAGTTCAATTATTATAAACTTTACGAACTTTTACGAACATTAGTCCCGATGTTCCTCAATAGCCCACCAACTTCAACCAGTCTTTTGATTTTTTTTTTTTGCTTTTCTGTTTATATTACATTTGCATAAACAGAATATCTCCTGATTAATGGCAATACTCTAGTTTACACAGGTGAAGTGTGTTCATAAGCCAGAGCCAAGCTTAACAGCGCTCTTATCTCTAACTTGGACCATCTACACGTGAGTTTGTTTTCAATGCTATAGCAGGAAGTTGTCAGCACATGTGTGTGTGTTATTAACCAGATTCCATGAAAGCAATCACAGAGTTCATGACAACAGATACAGCAGTTACTCTAAGTATGGTAATGTTTATGCCCATCATTTATGATTCACACAGACTGATACTATATATAGATGCACTTTGTAGTCTTTATGCGGCACTGATGAATCTGCCCAGCGCAATTATCAAAGCAAGCCAATACCTTCATGACACATGCTTAGATCATTTATTGCAAACCATGTGTATCATATAATTCATCACAACACGGTAAAACCTCTTCCCTATGAGTATAGTTCACATAAACCTTCTCTTAACTGCATTGTGCATCTAAACATTTTTAATCAGACAAAATCATAATTACACAGACAGCATGAATATATGCTTGATTATGAGCTAAGCATTTGCATGAATTGCCAGAATATTTACAGTAATGATGAATATTACTCAATGTGTTAAGAAGCACGGCTATATCGGCAAAAACCATTGCCACCAGTAATATAAAAATAATAATAATATAGGTCACATTTCTCCCATTCTCACTATTAATGCATTTTGCCTCAATAAACTCCTAATTAATGCATATTAATAGTTAGTAAGATAGTTATTGTGTAGGATTAAAGCATGTAGAATATGATCATGCAGAATAAGACATTATGTGCTTTAAAATAAAAATCCAATGTAATGTATGCTAAAGAAACTAGTTAAATAGTGAAAATTGTATCCTAAACTAAAGTGTTACCTTATAAGAAAGCAAAGCATGCGCTGAATTTCATGAAATTAAAATTTAATATTATCATAATTTTGTGGAATTAAGCACAATTACCAACATAAATACATCCAATGTAATTTTTATTATCATCTTTCCTTTTAAAAATAAAACCAGACTATATCAGCGAGAAGAAATGCATTACTTACCAGGACTATCCATCATTGATATGCTTTTCAAAGATCCTCTGTCTTCAGAAATATTGTCTTGAAGAAAGTCTGTTTGTGTCAGTATGTTAAAGTCTGGTGAAAGCATGTGAAAAAGTCACGAAATGCCAGTGCGTACAGTGAGCAGCTCAAAGTATCTCTGTCGCACAGAGCATTAGCGGAGCCAAATAGTCGTTCGGAAATACAGTCTGTCACAGGTGTGCAGATGCCCCTTCCGCGCGCTGCTACCTGTCCTGTGTGAGTATTGGATATGCCTAGTGGTGGTGTCTCATTGCCATCAGCATCTCTGTGGGACTGTCAAACTTCACTTCCACTCCAAGCCAAGCACACACCCTTCCACACCCACAAAAATCACGTTTTCAGGTAAACTGGCAAATGTGACTGGATTTAGGGAAGCCGTCAAGTCAACCTCTGTTGTTCTGTTTGACGGGGATTTATCTCACTCTAACGTGCTCATGATCTCTAGCTTTCTCTTTTCCCCTTGATCCTAGCGTGCATGTTCATTGGCGGGTGTGTAAGCGGCTAGCTGAGCTGGATGTGTCATGTGCTTCGAGGGAGATACGTGCTGGTAAAGCCACGCTGCATGTGCCCTCCGCATGTGCCGTGGAAAGCGCTGTCCTACTGACACACATTTCTTTTGCAAAACACAGCGTGAGATCGGGCGACATGAGAGCATGAGAGGCACGCACATGTACTGCAGGCGGGGCTTTGCGTGACTCCTGCCGCGCGCATCTTTTAAAATCTCTTCCGTCATGTGAATGATGCATGCAGTCATGGCATAAACAAGAGCATGAAAAACACTTGAATTGAAGATAGAGTAATATGATAG